AATGTGACAGTCTTATGGCAAACCACCCAGATGATAGTTTATAACAGCCATTGAAAATGTGAGCCTCGAATCGAAGATTCACGTCAATAAACAGACCCAAGAAATGTCATCTCATCTTTAATATAAAAAAAAATCATCTTCGAGATAGGGGTTCTCCACATCGCACCTAAATCCTTGAATACAGCACTCTCTCACGACAGCTAACTTAGATTTCACCAAAGACTTAAGATCTTCAGAGGTCATGCCAGAAAATAGTTGTGCCATCGGCATAATAAAAATTATACCCTAAATTCCTAAGTAATTTAGGCCATTCAAATATATTAAAAATAATAGGGGACCCAAAACAGACCCCTAAGGCACCCCGCAACCAACGAGCACTAAGTCAGAATAAGTACCAGACAGCACAACACAGGATAGATCGCAAAATACCGTACTCGTAAACATTTTCCAAGAACTTGAAAATAGCATCATGGGCTCCTTTGGAAGTTTGGAAACCAAACTGATTGGCACTGAGGATATTGTTAGCCACAATTGACGAGACCCTCGCCTTAACAAGCCTCTCAAAGACCTTTAAAAGTATGGACAATATAGAAATTGGGCGAATAAAGTTAGATGGATCATCTCGATCACCACAAAAAAAAAAATCGAGCGTTGTTTAGGTAGGTCATTGGATCGGTGTTCGATACCAAAATGGAAGTTGACAGGGGGGAAATACTGCAATAATATTCATTTAAAGTATTATGATCCACCTTAATTCCAGAAACTAGACCGCGGCCGCTCGATCGGAATTAATTCACTATATTTGAACATGTAGCTGCAATCCGTGTGGAATAGTTTACGTACATAATCAAACCATATGACTTCAACACACTGGATAGTAGGACAGTATTCAAGTTGTACGAGTCAGCATGATGGACATTCAAATCACCCGCCAGAATAATATGTGAAGCAATAGGCAATCGCGATAACAGCGCATCCAGGCTCTGAAGAAATTGAGCAACATCGCTAGAAGGCGGGCGATGGATACATATTGTATAAATTAGCTAGCCTACAGAAATACACAGAAAACTCGAAGAACCTTTCTATCAACAATGAGTCAATTCCCCTCTCATTTGTAAACAAATTAGGGTCAATTAGTGATCTCTTTGCTAGAATATCATGAATTAACTCTACAGAACAATGATATAGGCGCATAATCTGAAATCAAAAAGCACTCGCCAGGAACAAGCAAGTGCTCAGTCAACAAAAGAAAATCCGGAAGAAATTGCAAGAATCAAGAAGCAGAAATAGTTTGTCAGTCTTGTTACGCAGTGATTGAGTGTTTAATGAAAAAAAGAGAATTCTGAATTGTAGAAGCAGTATTCATCCTATCTATACTAATCAAAGGTAGTGAAATGCTTTGCTTACTGTCTTTCCATGTCAAATTATCTACTTATAAAAAAAAATGGTCGCTAGCTCAACACTCAACAAGCACCATCACCGACAACGAGAACAGCAGATCCTGCATCCAAGCAACAATCAACTTGGTACGGAACAAAGACACTTGAGACCAAATTTGTTGATAAACTGATTCGAAAAGCCAATCTCACACTGGAAGTTATACATATAGCCTGATAAATTTTCACACAGTAATCATTTTAACAGCTTTAATCCTTCGTGTAACAAGTCGTTGGAAAATACCCTAATTGAAACTATTTTTTAGCAGAATAGTATATTGCAGAAGGCCACATATTCCCGCACGAATTCGAAATTTGGCCACGAGCGACGAAGGAGTGAGTGAACGAACGAATAAGTGCGAGAATACTGAGAATAGCCTTCTGCAACGTGAGTTTTATACCATTTTCTCGATTTTGGATTTTATTTATCATTTTTTCAAAATTTTTCGTAGGCGCTGTAAGTTGGGGATTTATTTTTTGCAAAATATGTCAGTTAGTGACACTTACTTACCAACCAACTGGCAGGTGGATTCTATTATTTTAGAATGTTTGACAAGTTTGAAGGTACCAATAAGTTGTATTCCTTTCAAGTGTTTAGAACACTCGAGCTACTCGCTCCGGTGTTAGTTGCCCCCGATTTAAAAGGAATAGATGCGTGATGCAACAAACACTTTTCGAAAGGAATACGTGGGTAACGCCCCAGAGCTGTTCCGGAGCTCCTCCTAGGTGTGAAAGGAATACAACTATAGACTATAGGTTGTAACATTTGAAATGTCAGAAAAATATATTTATATCCTACTGAACTATTAAAACCATATAATACCTTGGTTACGATAATCATAAACAGGGTCTTAACTCCCAAGGGAGTTAAGGATTTTCATAACTCCCAAGGGAGTTAAGGAAGGGAGTTAAGGATATCATAACTCCCAAGGGAGTTAAGGATTTCCATAACTCCCGCTTTTACCTTGAATAGGTAACACTTTGACAAAAAATTGAAATTTTGATTTATGGCTTATTCCTTTATAAAAATAGACAGAATACAGTAAATTCAGTAGGATATAAAATTATCTATGTACCACGGGAATTATCAGGAGTTAATACCCACGGGCAATTGGTGTCCCTCGGGCCGGAGGCCCTCGGGACACAAACGTTGCCCTGGGGTATTAACACCTGCATAATTCCCTTGATACATAAATAACTATTATTGTTCTTAATATATTTTGGACTCATTTAAAAGTACTATTTCGTACACCTAGCGACATCTATGATTCTTCTGACTAGTTTTCCTTACCTAATATCGAGAATTCTGTTATTTCCGAGAAACCTGTAGCGCTGTCACTTTTATGATTTCGACAAGCTTGACCGATAAAGAAAGAAAAGACAGAACCAATTTGGGTACTTTTGACTTGCCCTTTTCTCTTTTGTCTTGGGACCGAACCAGGTCGTCCAAATTCTTATAAGTTTAAAAATCTTAAAACTTTGTCTTTGTTTTTGGCCAGAAGAAGGGTGCTTGATCGTGTCTACTAGAAAGTTTCCTGTAAAATCAACCGATTGTTGATTTTTGTGAAGATTTTGTTAAGTGAGGTTACTATCGGCCGTTCAGATATGTAAATTCCTTTTTCTCTCTGATGAATGAGTCCTTATATTCCTTCAATTCATTCAGGCACCTTGGGCAGGACGAAAAATCCGCGCCTGCACTTCTCCAAGTGAAAATTGACGAATTTGAGTCCACGCTGTTCTGGAAACTCAGAGCAAATCTCCCTTTTTGAGGAAAGTTTGTATCCTGATAGAAGTTGATACCCAACCATTATTTGGTTGTCTCCAGCCAGTTTGGTACCTCCAGATCTCAAATTTGTGAAAACTTTCGCGGCTTTACAAGGATTCCGTCTAGGCTTGTATAATTATTTACCTATGGGCGTCTTAAACGTGCCATCTTAATTACCGTAACTTATTTTTTACCTATTCTTTATCGCCCCCTATCGTTTAGCTTCATTAGCTAATTAATATCTTTGTAAATTCAATCACCGACTTAATTGTTTACCGTATAGTAGTATTTAGCTATAATAGTCAACTACCGTTTAAAATTAATTATTAATTTAATTAATTGATTATAATCAGAGTCAGTTATTGGCTTTTATTATCGTTTTCTCAATAATTATTTATTGTCCAGTAAGTATACATTATTGTGATTATTATAAATTTATTTCCGTAATATAGTACTGATCGATATAATATATTGTAGATTCATTAACCTTTGAAAGGTTAATTTAACTTTTAATTTCAAATCAATAATGTGGTAGTTTTACAAGTAAACCAATGTAAAATCTTTAGGTAGTCAAATTTAAGTTTAATGTTTACCTATTTTGAACTTTAAAGGTAAGAAGGTAGAGCTCTTCCCGAAACCGTGACCCTTTAATTTCACCTAGCAGGTTTTTGATATTTATAACTGCCTAGGGATTATTTATGACCTTTCTGCATTTATTAATTTGTTTTTTATTGATTTAATTGACTTTGAGTCAAAAATTAAAGGTTAATTGTATTTTGACTTCAACATTTATACTTAGGTAATTCTCATCGTAGGTATCTATTTAATTGTTTTTAAATTTCAATCCTTTTATATACCTATTTAAATTAAGTTTGGCTTCCGTAAGCTGCTTAATTCTTTTTTAATAAAATTGAATACTGAACAATATTCACCTTTGAACAATTGAACAACAAGTTCGCCATCCAGTCAATAAATTGGTAATGAACAACAAGTTCGACATCTGGTCAATAAATTATTGTTTTTAGAATTCCAAAACTTTTTATTGAAGGGGTTAAATGTCAGATAGCGATTGGATTTATTTTACCTTTTTAGATTTTTGTATTTTTCTTTTGGAATAATAGCTAATTATTTGAATAGTGTCTAGTTTGGCTATTCTTTTATAATCAAAATAATTTTTGCGTGCGAGAATGATAACATTCTCACACCAACATCGAGAAATTTTTTTACATTTACATAATCATCGGTTTATACCGTTCTACACTTCCGATTCCCGAACTCCGTCCGTTTTTGGCCTAGGGCTACATGCTGGTACTGCATTCTGCATTTGAAGGTTTTGAGAGTTCAGACTACTCTGTAATGTTTGCTTCAGTCTTTTCATGTATCACCTGTTCACGCTATGTTCTTTTGGAAATTTTAGGTTGTATTCCCTAGGCTCAATCTTGTTTTGTTGTTTTTCCTTTCGGTTTTTCCTTGCGATGTTTTTCTCAGAGATAAAGATTTCAGATTTCTATATTAAGCAGCCAGTGATCACTACCACATATCGCTCTCTTATATACTCTCTCATCATAGAATTTTATGTTTGATTTATACTTTGCAATAGTGTAGTCAATAATCGATTTTCTATGCTATGTTTCCAATTACGCAAGGAAGTATAGAGATATATACTTATGTTGCACTAGTTTTCCCAACTAAAGTTGCACTTTATCTGCTACATAGTTGTCACAAAAAGCAGCAATCGATTTATTTTTCTTATCCAATTATAGCATAGAAAAAAATAAATAAGTAATTTCTTGTTACAGCCACGGTACAAGATGTGCCGGAGAAGTAGCAGCTGCAAGAGACAACGGAATTTGTGGAGTTGGAGTAGCTTACGACTCAAAAATAGCAGGTAAGTTCAATATTTTCACAAGAATTCGGAAATTCGATTATTCACCCTTTCAAGCCAATTTAATCCAGCAAGCATTCACTAAAAACATTTGTTCGGTATTTGTACGGGTCGGTCCTCCTCTCACAGACAAGAGCAGCCATGCAAGAAATCAGATTACGGCGCACTCGACATCCTGTTTGCGGTAGAGAGCAAGAATTTACTTCGCTCCGAGTTGAAAATTTAATTTTCTTCATTTTAACTCCGGATATGACTTTCACGTAGCAACGCGTACAAAAAGCCGCAAACTTTATCGAATAAATATATAGAACATTGGATACAAGGAACAAAAGTTAACTGTGATTACGGTTAAGAATTTGTAGAGGTTGGAGAAAATGTAGGTCGTGCCTAGATAAATTCTCCATTAAAAGATGCAATAAAGCTTTTAAATTTTAGAAAATCGAATTTGAAGTGTGGAAAAAAATTCAGCACGCTACTTACGCTGCTGTTACGTATTCAAGCGATCGCTTGAATTGGATATTTTGAGAGAGAGATCGAGTAGAACTTACCGCCTCGCACGCTCTATTTACAATTCAAATGGCGCCATGTCAGGAAGCCCCTAATCGTTTCCGTGTCTAGTTAATTGTTTGGACCTTTCTTGTTCGACGCTCGCCATTATTAGTGTTTGGGGTTTAGAATTAATTGACGATTTTGAACTAAATTTTTTATTATAGACTTGAGTTGACCCTACACAAAAATTTGCTACATTTTGAAATGAGAATTTGTACGTGCAATGACATTAAAAGTATATAATGCATATGGAAATCAGGATCATGAAAATGGTATTAACAATTTTGTTTAATTATTCCAGTGCATGAAATTCAGTTTGCCGTGAAAATACACTCGCCGGCCTAAATTCCACCACCCTGAAATTTCCTGATTTTGTTTCTTGTTTGTATTTGTAGATCCGTTTATTGTGTTTTTCTCTATAATTGTTTTATGAAGTAATATTTTACGATTACACTATACTTATTTATTATACAGGAGTGAAGCAAACTGTTGTTTTTGGTCGTAATAATTTTATTTATATAGGAACTGTTTCTTGCTTGTTACCTTTGATGTAAAACATTCTGTTTTTTTGATTCATTCCCTTATCTTATTTCTGCTGCGAGCTGCAATTTTTTTATTAAAAGGATGTTATTTTTAGAAAAGGCTTGTCAAGATTTCGAATAAAAATTTTATCGACGTTGGCTAACGCGATTATTGTGACAGAATATTTCACAGTGACAATATTATAATTTGTTGTGTCAATATATTGGTATTAAATCCAGCAGACGTGGGTAGAATTGTTTCGTTAATAGAGGATGGCCGTAACAAAGATTATGTCGCTCGTACTCTGAGAATTGCGCGGTCTAGAGTTCGAGATGCCTGGAATAGGTAGGTATTTACGGCCGGAAACTTTTATTAGGCGGTAAGGCTCTGACAGAAGGAGAATGGCTACTGCAGCTGATGTTCGCTTTGTCATTCTTAGTTCTCGAAGAGATATACTGCTGTGTGTCTAAAAAATGGCTTGCAAATGATTCGACGAGTATATGTAAGCTAAGTGAAATAACGATGCGTAGAAGATTGGCAGAAGCTGGGCTTCATTCACGAAAGCCATCAATATGTCTACAATTACGTCCTTGGCACTGACAACACTGACTGAGGTTTAAAAGATTCCATTCTGACTGAACTCTAGAACAGTGAAGAAACTTACTCTTCACAGATGAATCCAGAGTTTGTTTAAGGTCGCTGCATAGCCGTGAGCGGCTAGACAAACGTAGCGTGGAATTGAAGGATATGCTGACTGCATATCAGAACAAATCTCATATAATGACACTTCAGTAATGATTTGGGCGGGTATTTCTACCAAAGCACGCACCGCACCGCTATTGTCTTTGTTGGAAATGGAGCTCTTACCGCCCACCACAATGAGGAAATCCGCCAGGAAGTTGTTGATTCATTTGCTCCTTTCATTGGGACCCAATTTACATTAATGCATGATAATGCTAGACCTCACATTGCACCTGTAGTGAGCGAATATCTGGATGAAGTTGAAATTGCAAGATTGGAATGGCCCGCATGATCTCAAACCAATCGAACATCTTTGGGATCAACTTAAAAAAGCCGTTCGTTGTCGTTCCGTGCAACCACAAACCTTGCAAGACTTGCGACTGGCCCTGACCGAAAAATATAAGAAATAATGAATAACCCTATTTATTCGATGCCATGAAGACTGCAAGCTGTCATTGCTGCCAGAGGAGGAAATACACGTTATTAAAATTGTTTTTCTCAAAAGCGCGTTAATGACATTTGAAATCTGTCAGTTCTTTTGTTTTGGAAGAGAAAAAAAACTCTCATCTTAATTGGTTCAAATTTGGCATAAACATTCTTTGATCGATTATCTAAAATCCGAATATTTTGCGAGTTTTCAGAAATAATCCATAAAAACCCAAATTCTGAAAAAAAGGCAACCAGATATACATATTTAAAAAAAAATCATTTTGAGGTAAACGCGAAATGTCGATGAAAGAATGCCGATGTTGGGAAATGGACTAAGGAATAAAAGAACTTGTTAATTATCGATATTCAATATATTTATTATATCGAACACAGCGTGGAAAGCAGAGCGTGTGAACTCATAGAAATAACTATACGAACTGACTCAACATCAAGACAAAGAATTACAAACCCTTTCTTAAGTAAACGATTCCTCATCTGTTTATCTTACATATAAAAACTATTATAAACACATTCAGTCATCCATAGCTGCGATATAAATTAGCAAAGTATAGGCTAATAATCAAAGTTTAATTTATTAATTTTCGTTTCACTGATATGAATATCAGCTTATCCAACAGCCGATGCCATAAATGTGTGGGTGCATTGGAGGATTGAGAAGTTTGACTAAATAGAACGAACGTCTAACCAAGAACCGTGGCATAGACTGGACGACGACAGTATGCGTAGAACAAGGACAAGACCTAAAAGCTAGAGCGACATAGACGACGAAGAAATAAATTCCACAGAGGTCTATGACATGCTAAGGAAGTTGAAGAAGGGAAAAGCCACAAGCAGCGACCGTATCCCGAATGAGGCAGTCAAACACGTATTCTACGGACATCATAACAGGATGTATATCCTGTTATGATCCTGTATAGGAACTGCCTCAACCTAGGACTTTTTCCAACTGTCTGGAAAAAGGCGAACTTAGTATGGGTCCCCTAAAAAGACGAAACACCCAGGCCAATCAGTTTGCTGCCAACGCAGGGTAAGATATTGGATAAAATCTCGAATAAAAGACTACAATTGCACTCAGAGAGAACAGGCAACATAGACGCAAAACAGTACGGATTCAGAGAAGGGACGGGAACGGGTCCATTACACTGGCCCCCCTCCCCCCGGTTTCCCAATAGGCTCAATATTTTAGCACCCACCTAGCACCCAACTTACAGAGCTAGCACCACACGCCCTAGCGAGTTATAGAACATTTTCACCGGGGGGGGGGCTAATGTAACGCGAGCGCCCCCCGGTTTTCCAACAGGTCCAATTTTTTAGCACCCTATTGCACCCACCTAGCACCCAACTTACAAGGCTAGCACCACACCCTCCAGTGGGTTATGGAACATTTTCGCCGGGGGGGCTAATGTAACGCGAGCCCCCCCCCCCCCCCCCCCGGTTACCAATAGGTCCAATTTTTTAGCTCCTTATTGCACCCACCTAGCCCTACCTAGCACCCAACTTATAGAGCTAGCACCACATCCCACAGCGAGTTTTAGGACATTTTCACCGGGAAAAGCTAATGTAACGCGAGCCCCCCTCCCCCGTTTTTCCAATAGGTCCAATTTTTTAGCGCTCAATTGCACCCACCTAGCACCTAACTTATAGGGCTAGCACCACACCCCCTAGCGAGTTATAGAACATTTTCACCGGGAGGGCTAATGTAACGCGAGCCCCCCCCCCCCCCCGGTTTTCCAACAGGTCCAATTTTTTAGCACCCTATTGCACCCACCTAGCACCACCTAGCACCTAACTACCTAACTTTCAGGGCTAGCACCACACCCTCCAGCGAGTTATAGAACATTTTCACCGGGAGAGGGGGCTCAGTTTAATAATATTGCGATTGAATTCAAATTTTGGAGGTGATTGTATGATGGAAAAATGAAGTATGTGACATAGTAAACATTTTGATCTATCATTGGCGTGCGGTGTTGGGGCGTAAAAAGGGTTTTTTTTTTTTGGGAAAAAGATATTAGGGCTTATTTTAGATAATTTTTTGTATCAGATTTAGAATCAGCACCCCCAAAAACTCTTTAATTTATATTTTCAAAATTTCAAAAACTGATTTTAGCAACAAAAAAAAGTACATTTGTTTTAATTCACTTTTTCTAATAAGTTGTTTATTTCTGATGATAGGTAACCAACATTTCAACATTTCCAATTTCTAATCAAAAATGCGAGAATGTTAAAAATTTAAAACAACCCCTTTTTGCCCCCCAACACTGTACGCCAATGATAAATAAAAATGTCTACAATAGGTGGGTTCGGCTTGCTCACTCCGTGCACTCCGTGCACTCCGAGTGACTCCATTCGCACTCCAGCCGTTCGGGTTAAGGTTCGGGTATTGCTTTTTACCGTATTAGGGGTGACTCCATTAGCTCTGTTCACTACACACCAACTCCGCGCTGAATAGCCGAACCCAGCTTATGTCAAATACTTCATTTTTCTAAAGGTGTGTCCAGACTAGAGCATTCGGACCGAATGAGCACCGCCGAATGAGCAAGTTGAGGCAAAATAAATACACAGCAATAACTGTCTCATGTGGTACGAACACTCGTCCACAGTCCACACTTGAATGCTCATTCTGCCTCGGCATGCTCAGTGCTTGCTCATGCGGACCGAAAGCTCTAGTCTGGACGCACCTTTACATACAATAATCTCCAAAAATTGAATTAAATCGCAGATTGTTAATGCCCGTATTACAT